AATAAATGGGGGGATGGGGAACCTAATCATGTCTTTAGATTCAGAATTTAGCTATCTGCTAGGAGAAGATCAATATGGTTGAATCAAGTTTCACATTTAAAGAGAAGTCCCTATGTTATGCATTTGAAGAGAAGTTTACATAAAGATGGTCTACTCATCAGTCAATATGCAATAAGTAACCTTCAGTGATCAGTACGAAAGATGACAGTTAAGGGAAGACAAATTCTACATGTGGCTGCTTAATCCTCGTAAGAGTACCTAAATATAATTCAAGACTTTCAAGTTCAAGAATTCTATATAACCAGCAATCTTTTACCATGGACCGGCTAGTGTACAGAAAAAGATCATTAAAAGGACTATTTAGGATAACTTCTTCATTAAAGTCTTTGATGGGGGGGATGAGAATAGTAACTGTGTCCTCTTAGTTTCAGCTTTTTAGGTAGTACTACTGCTTATAGATCAAGATGAAAGTTCATCCGCAATGAAGTTAGGAACTCATGTTTTTCCAAAGAAGGTAGAGAGTCAATGCCTGTACAAAGTCATCATTATGGATATTCATTTAAGATGTAAGATTAAAAGTTAAACAAGAAGGACCTGAATTCGGCCCATATGTCTCTTCAATTGGTAAGATGATTTCCAAATCATATCTGGGAGATAAAGATTGAGCCAGCAACAGTAATAACTTCAAGTTTTGCCCCAAAAATTCACCTCTATAAAGGTAAAGATAAAAGTAATGAAGATTCTTTCCAGTATGCAGTAAGGGGGAGGGGACATGTATTATTCCTTTCAGAAATGGATATATCCAGTAAGGAGATCCTTTTTCCAAGATGGACATCCATTAAATTGTTCAGCCCATGGGACATTCTCAGTTATTCAGCCCATGTAGGACATACATGAAGTATTCAGCCCACGTAGGACCTTCACAAAGTTAGTCAGCTCGTGTAGGACCTTCACAAAGTTATTCAGCCCACGTAGGACCTTCACAAAGTTAGTCAGCCCACGTAGGACCTTCACAAAGTTATTCAGCCCACGTAGGACCTTCACAAAGTTAGTCAGCCCGTGTAGGACCTTCACAAAGTTATTCAGCCCACGTAGGACCTTCACAAAGTTGGTCAGCTCGTGTAGGACCTTCACAAAGTTATTCAGCCCTCGTAGGACATTCATGAAGTTATTCAGCCCACGTGTCTCGTGAGATGGGAGGGGAGGGGCAGATGGAAACTCAATGGGAGAAGAGGGTGACATCCCAAATTGATGGTAAAAAGTTCTACATACAAATGCAAATCATGTGTCATAAAGGTAAAGAATTCAAATAGGAATTGAAAGCTAAAATTTCCGTAAAAATCGTAAATTGCCCAGGCATTTTTCAACACCCAGAAAGTCTACCACTTTTCTGTTTTACTTGGATTAAATATGAAGTGCAATTTTATGAATTGAATAGGAAGCCACTCTTAATATTCTAGTTGCCATTTGCAGGAAAGGGGAGGGGTATTTGCTTTACTTTCAGGAGAAAAAAGACCTTCCAGTAAAGAAATGTGTCTCCTACAAGTCCTGATCATAAAAATTTCCCAAAGGTCGCACAGAGAGAGAGGGGGATATTCACAATTTAAGCGCAGCCCAATTCTTTCTTCACTATAAAGAGAAAAACCAGGTTTTAGGAAGAGTCTTGCAAGTTAATGTGAAGATGTGTTTTTTAATAAAACATTCCACTTTATTTTAGACATAGCAATTTTAAAAGGCAATTTCTAGTCAGTAAAGTTAACATCAAGTAAAAGTGAATAAAACAAAATCAACCATTTTTGAAGTTCATTGTTGGTTTGCATAAGGGGGGAGAGGATCTTCAATTTGTGTTGTTTCAGAAATTAAATCCCAAAACGGAGTTGTGGAAGTATTGAGAAGCCTGTTACCTTTGATAGTAAAAAGCCTGTTGTCCTTAATCTCCTGTCCTCTGTTGAAGTGTGATGTTTACCTACAGCCAATTGTCTCTTCACTGGGGTGGGAAGTATTGGAAGATTTTTGATTACAGCTAAATTGCTAATATTTGAGTGATAAAGGTGATTCCAGTCCATATTGATATCGGCAAATTCTATCTAAAGTTCTTATCCACGAAGGTAAAGATCATCAAAACAGCATTCTAGGACTAGATGTGAAGCAGTTAAGAAATTTCCTCATAATTTGATGTTTTGTACCAACCAGCTATTCTTTTAGAAGCAAGTCTCCACATTTTGTGATTTTCTTGGATTAAATGTAGTGATGTCAATTGACAGAAAGTAGAAAAAGTTCAATGTTTCCAGAAAGGGGGGAGGGGACCATAATTTTGTGTTATGTTTCAGAAAGCCAATATTAAATGCCATTCACAGCCGCCAGGGAAATTTTAAGCCTGTTATCCTCAGGACACCAAGGGTTACCTTTTGGGGAAAAGTTGCAGTGAATGTTTCATACAGGATTTAAGATTTGAATTCATTCTGCCCATTTGTCTGTGCACCAGGGGTGGGGGATTGCTGAGGTTCCACTTGAATGACATGGCGACTCGAGCCCACCACTGCCCAATCACATCGTGGCATGTTATACTTTCACCACATCTACATTTTCATCTTTTAAAGGTAAAGATGTTGAAAAACCACACATTTGTAGGATCGGAAGAAAAGCATTTTCTATAGTTTCTTCATTTATTTGAAGTTAGGCATTAACCAGCAATTTTTTCAAAGCCTGCATGTCCACCAACATCCAATAAGCTTTGTGATTATCATGGATTAATGTACACTTATTTTCTTGGAAAGTGAAGTGACAACGTGCAAATATTGTTGGGGGGAGGGAAGCCTAACCCAGTCTTGTTTCAGAAATCAATATGTAGGAAACAGTCTTGTTTGGATCAAGTTCTTGGCTGCTTCGAGTTTTTCCCTTGGATGCAGTTGTGACCATTCAAGTTCCAGTAAGGATTTCTCAAGTCCCTCAAAGTTTTCTTTGTAAGAAATCTTCATGTTGCAATTTATTTCTAAATAGGAATGGATTTTAATTTACCAGATGTCAAAGAGTTTAAATACTATAATCATCAGTCTACAGGATAATTGGCCATTGTTAGATGAATAAATTTTCCGTTGCAGAAGGGGGAGGGGAAGATTTTTTTGCATTATTTCAGAAACTGAAATGAGTTCTTTCCTGAAAATCTTCCATTACCTATTGTACCTGACGTCCTGATCAAAATAAAGTTCTACCTTAAGGAAGAGAATCAGCCTGAGCTCCAAGCTAATTCCATGCACCATTTAAGGAATTGCAAGAAAACAACCATAGTAAAAATATCAAGATATTTTTCTTTATTTTATTAGAAATTCTAAAGCCAGATGAAACTTGAAAATCGTTATATTTAGCAGTTTTCAAAGTCCTCAAGTCTTCCAATTCTATTAAATATCTAGGTCAACTTAATGTTTGTTTCAAGGATTAAATGGACAGAAGAAACTTTGTTTCATAGTGTAGCACTTATCTTGTGAAGATATAATGGAGGGGGGGATTAAAAACATTAGCATATTTAATTAGTTTCAGAATCGATCATCCATGGTTCAAGATAAAGTGATGTAAGAAGTCTTCTGATGTGTTGCCACAGTGTCTTTAAGTCCACAGCTCTCGCATCAGCTCAGATAATGTGAAATTTTTTTTTCATCATTCCATGTTCCTTTTGCAAAAAATGAAGAATTTCAAAAGTTAAAGTATCTTCATCGTTTAGAAAAAGTGACATTTTGGATGCTTAAAGCTTGCAGAAAAAATACATGGATTTTATTTTAAATTGGTTTGCAGAAGGGGGAGGGAATCGTTTTACCATTTGTTTCAGATAGCAAACTGAAAACCACGAAAGGCCTGTCAAAGAAATGAATACTTCAAGTAGTGTATTTCCGAAGTCCCTGCGAGTTAAAGAACATGAAATCTTTCTTTCATTGGAATGTTTTCACCAGGTGAAGTCAAATTTCATCTTTATTGAAAATAATAGGTTATGTCAGTGTGATGTAAATGTAAAAAAAAAAACCAACTATTCTTTTGAAAAGAAAATGTTTGTGTTTTGGATGAAAAAGTATTTATCAGGAGTTCATTGTGATGTGCAAGCTAGAAGAAGCTGTAGAAGGGAGGAGGGCTCCAGTGCAGTTCCAGCTATTGTTAAATCACCACAGAATTCCATCAGGTTTTCTTATACCATAGTAAAAGATCAATTGTCTTCTCATTGGATTTCTCTAGGATTCTTTGAGTTTGGATATAATTTCAGGAATTCAAGTAGTGTTTCATTGTGAAAAGTTAAAAGGCATGTTTTAAATGTAGTGAAGTTATCTCTACAGGAAGTGTAATTTTAAATATTGAACAATTTTGCTGATTACCATGAAAAGAAGAAAAGCAGGGAGGGGGGATAATGTACAACAGATTTTGAAAGTTTTTTTCAGAAAATTTTTGACTAGTGAAAGGAGATGAGCAGACCCCGGAATATGCTGAAAATTCAGTTTTCCCACAAGGTTTTATAGGAATTTTACAGAAATAAGTCCAGCTGAGTAAGAAAATCCCATTTTAATCCACGGCATTTTAAATTAATTTAATGAATGCAATGGTTTTAAAGATGTGATGTGATATTGTTTTCGTGCCAGATGTTGTTGAAGATATGTTAATATTTATAGTGTTAATTTCAAATTTTGTTAAAACTTGCTTTGCCTTGCAACTGCCTTATTTTTAGGGGGAGCTGGGTGTCTTTTTGTATATCAGGTAGCTGCATTTCTGGAAATGGAAAGTAAAGCAATGGGTAGTAAGTGCTTAATATATGTAAATACAGTACTTGTTTTCCATCCTTTACATTGTTTACACTCACCAAACCTTTTCGTTATGATGTATAATTCTCACCATATCTTTTTGGTTACAGTGGTGCAATTTCTAACCTCTGTTTACTTCAATTATTTTTGAGAATTGCTAGTTTAGTTGCGTATGTAGTCAGTATTTAATCAAAGTGGCAGAAGAGTTCTTTAAAGTATGTGTTATTTTATATACTATGACTTGGAAGAGCTAAAACATATTCACCTTTAGTGTGTTATTCTGCATGATTTAAATATATCTTACCTCCTAAACATTTGTGGTGTAAACAAGACTTTTACCATTTTACTGTGCTAGATGTGTTGGAATTTAGATGCTCTTTTTGTAGCCCACTTGTATTCTGGCAGTTATACTTATAACCACTAACACAAAGTAAAATTTTTCATTTTAATCATACAGTCAGTGTTTTATGACCAAAGTGCATACTTAATGTATAAGCCATAAATTGCTTATTTCACAAACGCGCCTTGTTTACCTATGCTATTATTAGAGCTGGGTATCGCGGCTGAAAAATCGTATCGCGATACATTGCAATATTATATTTTGTATTGCAATATATCACAATATAAAATTTTTAATAATTTTTTTCTTTTCATCAATGTTAAATGAAAACACAAACTCAAATGACATGTATTCTCGAGTTGATATTGCAACTGCCTGATCGTGTTGTGTGTATGCAAGTGGCAAGCTAAGTTTTTTGTGACACAACTTTAAGAATCAAGTTGTTTTTCAGATTCTGCTTAAACATGAAGGGCTTTCATCTAAACTCTTTTTGTCTTATTTCATCAAACTTCGCGTTGCTTGTATTTTACCTTGAAAAGGGCAAATAACTCTTTTTGTAACAATTAATAGCATATAAACCGGTATTCACAAAAAAAATTTATTGAAGAATGAAATTTAATATCGCACAGCACTAGCTATTATGAACCAACTTTTTAATTTACACGACGTGTACATGTGTATGGGGGTGTGTGTCCTTTCTTTTTTGTTAGCCAGTATAGATTGATGTAGCATGAGAAGAAAATTTAACAGGTGTCTGCAGTCACTCAAGAGAATCACCTCTTAGCCTTTGTGTGGTATTGTAGTCATTTACATGCTTTAGTTATTCAAGTTTCTTGTTCATGGTTTGTAAAGTCTAGCACTTCTGGGAAAATAATCTGTGCAAAGTACTTGCTGTGATACTGAATATACACTTGCTATATATCTTACCTCATAAACATTTGTGGTGTAAACAAGACTTTTACCTATTCACTGATTTAGACGTGTTGGAATTTAGATGCTCTTTCTGTAAGCCCACTTGTTTTCTGGCAGTTACACATAACCACTAATGCAAAGTAAGATTTTTCATTTTATTCATACGGTTTGTGTTTATGACCAAAGTGCATATTTAATTTGTAAGCCATAATTTGTTTCACAAACTTGCCTTATTCAGCTCCTGCTATTGTAAGCCAACTTTAATTTATATAACGTACATGTATATGGGGTGTGTGTCCTTTCTTTTTTGTTAACCAGTATAGATTGATGTAGCATGAGAAGAAAATTTAGCAGGTGTCTGCAGTCACTCCAGAGAATAACCTCTCGGCCTTTGTGTGGTATTGTAGTTATTTTCAAGCTTTATTTATTCGAGTTTTCTTGTATATAGTTTGTTAAATTTAGCACTTCTGGGAAAATAATCTGTGCAAAGTACCTGCTGTGATACTGCATGAACACAAAGTAGTTAAAACTTTTTTCATATTCACTTGGTTAAAGGCAGTTTATGAATTAAGTCATCTTTTTGACAAGTCACTAATGTTCAGTACTACTAGCTACAGTACTACTAGCTACAGTTTATGCAGTTACCGTATTTATTTACAACCTGTTTTATTGTGTATATCTCTTCACACCTTGCTTTGTAGATTTGGCTATTTATAATATTAATAAGTAAACCCAACTCTTGATACTTAATTGGATTATTTATTTGCTTTGTGCAGTAATGTTAAAAACATTCATGTTCATATTAACCAAACCTGATGCAGTTGTTTATTTACCTACCACACTAGCAATATTTTTATTTCCACTTAAATTCACTGAATGTTACAAATAACTAATTTGAATGTACATGTAACTACACCCTTACTTTATTTTTTGAATTAGTCCAATATAATTTGCAAATATAGAATTTTTAAATTATATCAATGAATATGTTGCATTACATTTAAAGTGTTTTGGGGAATTTGTTTTGTGACATTTCTGTTGTGTCCTGTGGTTTCCAGACCACAGGACTTGTGGTGCTTTATTTCTCTCTGTTATTTTGACAGGTGTTTCTGCGCTTGGCATCTGTAAGTTCAATCATGTTAAAAGAGATCATTGAAGTGTGTAATTGTCACATGGTGATTCAAGTAGCCATGTTGTTGGTTTTATTATTAGCATTTTTATGTTTGTGGATATTTCAACTTCTTGCCATTTTCTGTATGAAGTTTAATTGTTTAACCATCATTTTGAACACCTTTTCTTTAATTTGAATTTTAATGATGATTGTAATATTAAATGAGAGTTCATTTCCAATGTATGGTATGTAGACCTACTGCTAGGTCAATTTGCTTTTGTTGCAGATTTGCCTGCTTGTGATCAGGGAACAAGTACAGTATATGTGCCCGGCAAGATAAATATGTATTCGAGTTAAGCATGATGTGTCCCTATATCTAAATTTGGCATGGTCAGAGAGTGAGAAAACACTTGCCAGCTGATCAGAGCATTGGACAAATCTCACCTCCCCCTCCTCTCTAAAAAGAGGGGAGTTAGGGTTGGGTGGCCGGCTCGCAGCAAGTCACTGACCACTATCTGGCATCCCATGATAAATATTGAACTGAATTATTTTTGTTAAAAATGATAAAACTAATTTGGCAAAATAATTTCAACTAAAAAAGGAAATGTTTGTTATATGGCTAATGTTTATTAAGTTATCATAATGTTCATACAAGTTATCAAACTATCAAGTTTATTTTTTAAAAACTAGAAAATTAAAATTTTGGAAGTTTCATTATAATGAAAAAATAAATTGAAAAAAATAATTAGCTGTTGAGTTTTTAGTGTGAAAATTTATACATTGATTAAAAATAATTATTGCAACACCACTGAAAAATAAAATTAAAGTAGGAAAGTAGCTTAAAAGCAATATTTAGCCAGTATAGAAAAAAAATCAGAGGAAAAAAAAAATATGTACATTACTTAACAGAGAAGTGGTCTCAATTTTTAATGAGTAAAGGATGAAGTGATTGTATTTTATTTTAAAAATAAATTGAAAATATTTCATTTCAAAATAATTTGAGAGTATGTCGATAAATAAATAAAACCTTATTAAACCTATATCTGATTGTTGGTTTTCTTTTACACTGTGCAGCCATGGCTAGGATCTGTTGGTATGGAAGATCCCTTTCATGCATCATTTAAATGAATGGCAGTTGTAACGTCAAAATGCCCCTCATTTGATGAAGCTTGAAAAGTTGTCCTGCCAATAGATAGTTTAGTCTTGGTTGCATTGTTTGGGTTTGATATGCCACATGGAAGAACGAAGCAGATGAAAAGGTTGATTAGTAAATGAAGAACGAATGACAATGCATATTTTAACATTGATTAGTAAATGAAGAATGAATGACATTGCATATTTTGCTCCATGGCAAAAAAAATACAAGAGGAAAGCTGTTGATATATTAGAATGTGAAATGCTCAGCTAGCTTCTGTAAATTTATGTTTTGGACTCTAGGTGGTGAATTTTGTTGTGCACCAGGATTTCTATGCATAAAAATTAAGAATTTATACTTGAAAAAAAAAAAGTTAATGACAAACCCTATGGAATATTCACCACCAAGAGTCTAATGTACTGAACCACAGGTGCAAGTTTAAACCAAATTTATTATAACGGATCCATAGTCGAGGAAACTCCACCCCAAACCTCTCTTCAAAGGGAGATGAAAGGAAAAAATCATCTCTAATACATCAGCAGGGATAGTCTCGATTTTAATTTTTTGAAGTCGTGGCTTCTAGGAGTAGGGAGGGGGCCAAAATGGGGAATCAAACTTCTTGAGAACCACGGAGCCAGATGGGAAGCATTCTGTGGTAGTGTAGATGCTGACGTTGATTTTAGGGGGGTAGGGTGGGGCTACAACAGGAAATCCCTAGTTTAACATTGAAATATTTAGGAAAAATCTCAAGAACCTGGGCCAGAAAATATGAAACTTTTTTGGAAGTGCATTCTGATGGGTAGTGTTTTAAATTCTAAAATCCTTACTTGTTGAACAAATTCATCTGTCCTTGGGGTAAATGGGGGAAATCTGATGAATAAAAATAGGGTCAAGGTTAATCAGGTGAGCATTGTGTCCAATGGGCCTATTGTCTGGATAATAAAATTCACCATGGGAAGAGTTCATAATTGTTTTATTAGCGGTATCTAGTCAGGATATGTGATATTTAGGCTGTTTGAAGATTCAAATTTCATTACAGCTTCCTTCTTTTTAGCTCACCTGAGCCGAAGGCTCAAGTGAGCTTTTCTGATCAAAATTTGTCCGTCGTCGTCGTTGTCGTTGTTGTCGTAAACTTTTCACATTTTCATCTTCTTCTCAAGAACTACTGGGCCAATTTCAACCAAACTTGGCACAAAGTATCCTTGGGTGAAGGAGATTCAAATTTGTTCAAATGAAGGGCCACGCCCTTTTCCAAGGGGAGATAATCATGAATTTGTTAAAAATTAATGGCATTTTAAAAAAATCTTCTTCTCCAAAACCGATGGGCCAGGAAAGATGAAACTCACTTGAAAGCATCCTCAGGTAGTGTAGATTCAAGTTTGTTCAAATCATGACCCTCGGGGGTAGGGCAGGGCCAAAATGGCCGACCCAAGTTTTACATAGGAATATATAGGAAAAATCTTGAAAAATCTTCTTCTCCAGAACCACTGGGCCAGGAAAGATGAAACTCATGTGGAATCATCCTCAGGTAGTGTAGATTCAAGTTTGTTCAAATCATGTCCCCCGGCGCAAGGGTGGGGCCAAAATGGCCGACCCAAGTTTTACATTGGAATATATAGGAAAAATCTTTAAAAATCTTCTCAAGAACCACAAGGACAGGAAAGATGAAACTCATGTGGAATCACCTTCAGGTAGTGTAGATTCAATTTTATTCAAATCATGACCCCTGGGGCAAGGGTGGGGCCAAAATGGCCGACCCAAGTTTTACATAGGAATATATAAGAAAAATCTTCTCCAGAACCACTGAGCCAGGAAAGCTGAAACATGTGGAATCATCCTCAGGTAGTGTAGATTCAAGTTTGTTCAAATCATGACCCCCGGGGCAAGGGTGGGGCCAAAATGGCTGACCCAAGTTTTACATAGGAATATATAGGAAATATCTTTAAAAATCCTTCTGAAGATCCACTGGGCCAGGAAAGATGAAACTCATGTGGAATCATCCTCAGGTAGTGTAGATTCAAGTTTGTTCAAATCATGACCCATGTGGATAGGGTGGGGCCAAAATGTCCGACCCAAGTTTTACATAGGGATACATAGGGAAACCTTTTAAAATCTTCTTTTCAAGTACTTCAAAGCTATGTGATAATTTTATGCATAAATGCCTTCGGCGTTAATGCAAATTATCACACAAGCTAATCCATTGATCATCTTCATGAATTCGAAAAATAAGACAGTTATTCCTTAACTACTTCACAAAAAAATTGGTCATGACCTAAGTGCTAGTGTTTCATGAACTTAACCCAGATTCATTTGGTAAAGTTCAAGGTCACTGGAAGATAAATTTTATAATTTGTGTCTGGTCCTTATCTTTCTTATGGATAAACCTGTTGAGTTCCCATTTTACAAAAAGTTTGCTTATGACCTGTTGGTATGTTATGAATTGATCCAAGGTCAGCAAGTGCAAGGTCGCTGATAGAAAAAGTTCATAATTCGACCCATATCTTTCTTATGCAAAAAACTTGGAAGTCACGCAAAGATTGTCATGACTTAAAAGTTTGGATAAAATTGGCCCAGAGGTCCCTGAGAAAAAGGTTAATGTATATTTTACAGGTTGATTAATGGACAGTTGGACACATGAAGGACAGCACGTAACCAGAAAAGCTCACTTCCTGACCACCACTACAAAATATACAACAAATCTTCACAATTTCTGCTGTCAAGATCAAAGTTTTACATGTGAAACACCTACTGATATGGCAGCTTATGGCAAGGGTAGAATTCTCTCAATAAATACACATGTGGAGTATGAGAGCTCGATTCTAGCGCTAACTGTTCAAAAGTTATGGTCAGGGTCAAACAGACAGACAGATATAAACAATATAGTTGCCCCAGATCTATCGATCTAGACGCGCCATAAAAAGCCACAGTAATTAAGTCAAAGAAATGTGTAAGCATTCTAGGTGAATGTAAATTCAAGTTAATAACCTCCCCGCTTTTTTTTTAGGGGAAAGTTGGGACCACTTGTGCATTTAAGCTTTTTCAATACTGGATTGATTTTTAATATGCAGATCAGACTAGATCGATCAGGGGCACATATTGTTCTTGTTCATCTATCTGTTGTCAACTTTAACCTTCGCCGTAAGTTTTGAACCATGAGAGATAGACTTCAATTTCGTATGCTTTACTAATTAAGCTCTTTCAAATGACGCCAAAGTCAATGACCTTGACTGTGACCTATATGCTAGAAAACACTTTTTCGAACCTTTGTCATAACTTTTGATCCATAGGAGATGGAGACTTCATATTTGAGATGCATACAGCACTTATTAAGTTTCTTTAATTGGTACCAAGGTCAATGACTTTGTGCCTTTACTGTGACCTTATGCTAAAAATAGCCTTTTTTTTAACCTTTGCCATATTTTTTGAATATGCATACTCAACTAAGTTCTTTCAAATGACACTAAGGTCAATGACCTTGACTGTGAACTACATGCTAAAATATACTAGTTGATTTTTCAAACTTTGTTATCGCCAGGTGCACATGTTTCATGCACAAACACATCCTGTTGCTTTTTTTCTAGCCAGTGCTCAGAATGGGCCTTTTGTTGAAAACTAGATCAAATTTCAAAGTCACAGTTTCAAAATTCATGGTATATTTATAAAGGCCTTGTCACACTGAAGTCTTGCTTAATATGCAAAGTCCTAGCTTTTCTCTTTCAAAAGTTTTGTGTTTTGTTAATTTTTGAAAAGTAGGTCAAACTTTAAGGTCAAGGGTAAAAATTCATAATTGATTAATGATAATTATAGTATCCCTGCCAAATTTAAATTTTGACATAAAGAGTTTTCATTCCAGTTGGGACTGACTGATCATATAGTCTGAGAAACTTGTGATATTCAGGTAAGCCTTACAAGTCCCAAGGCAGGTATCTTATTATTTTTTTTTCACATACCTTGGAATGGACCTACTCTAAAAATGTAATCTTGTGACTAATCTGTAGCACTGGAAGATTTTAAAGGGGCCCTGGCCCTCCTTTTGTGTCCAAAATATATATATATGAAATTTAATATAAATAAACTTCTTTTCAATGAGGCTCTGGGACCCTACCCTGACCCCAAACTGCCCCCCCCTTCACCTTTTCTAGATTCCTTGATCCGCCACTGTGTAGCATGTATGCGTAAGTCAGACACAGCATCTGAGGCAGGTATATGGTCCTATATTTTGCTCTCTTTGTTTTTAGCAGTAAAGGCTTATCAAGTTTTAGGAATGGAATTGCTCAGGAAACTTAAATCAGATGTAGAATACAGCATAAGCCTGCCACAAATTGAGGTGAATTCAAATATAAAATCAAGAACTTATGGTTTTAATTAAGTTTCTTCTTTTAAAAAAAGTAAATTTTCAGACACAAACAAGTTAACAAACAAAATAACAATTCATTGCACTGAGTACATCTAGGTACAATACTTGAATGACACAATAACATAACAATAGAAACAGTTTAAAATTAAAGATAATAATTTTATACTAATGATTCAGTTCAGCTGATCTGAAGAATGACTTGAAGTGTCTAGGAAAATTGTTTTCAATGTCATTTTACCTAGCCGTTGACTTATACATGTTTTAAACATGTTTTATTTTGTTTTAAATCTGTAAACCGAGGCAGAAATCAATTGTTACAATTCATTTTGTTTCTTTATCAAAGACAGTGGTTAAAATCTTGGAATGAAATAAAATTCTTCCTGGCAGGATATTGTACTGTACTCTTATACATGTAACTGTCACATAAAATTTTAAGTGAAATCTGCTCCTTAACAGACATATTTCAATAAAAAAAAAATTTAAAATATCTATTGTTGATTTACAATACTTGTGTGAATATACCCATTAGATTTGTAACACTATCATAATTTTTCATAACAGATTATGGGATTCTGACTCGGTTTATTTATGGTTCTCTTGAAATTCTGGGATATCTATGTTGATGCACACTGCTTGTCTGAATATACCCATCACATTTTAATACTGTGAAAATTTATCAGAACAGATTTTGAGATTCTGACTCGGTTTGTTCGTGGTTCTCTTCGACGTCTTCATCACCTACAAACTCATCGTACTCATCGTTTTCCTCATCATCATTCACATCGCTCAATTTATCCCCCTCCGTCAGCAAATTTAGGTCAGGCTCCGCCTCCTGGATGAGAATTTCGTTAGGATTTTCGGAGGTGGAGTTCATCACGCGGCACACCATCTTCTTCACGTGGCGATTCATGTGGCGCCTCAAGACATAACCCCGACCAAACCTCCTCCCGCAAACCTGACACGGGAATGGCTTGATTTTCTGGTGGGTCTCCAAATGATGATAAAGTGAGCTCTTGTCTGTGAAGCTTTTCCCACATTCCTGACATAAAAATGGCCGCTCTCCACTATGAATTCGGAGATGCACTGTCAACGCTCCTTTCTGTCCGAATGCCTTACCACACACACTACATACAAATTCTCTCACCCCTTCATGCACTGTTTTCATGTGTCTGACTAGATTACAGCTCCACCTAAAGGATACTCCACATACCGGACACTGGTGGTCCCGTTCATTGGTGTGAATTTTCTTATGAGCCCACAGATTTCTTGAGTCACAGAAAGCCCTGTGACACATGTCACATTTGAAGATTCTATCTCCTGAATGAGTTCTGAGGTGAGTTTTCATGGCAGCAATCAAGTAAAAAGCCTTTCCACACACCTGAAAATCAGAATATCACAGTCTGGTACATAAATGAGTAAACAGTCTTAAAATACCACACAGCCATTTATCAACTAGCAAGTTTTACCATATCAATTATAGCAAGCATCATCATTATTTGTAAAGAGTTATCTCCCATCAGAATAATGAGAAATATGACTACATTCCTAAAATAATTATGGCTACAAGTGAAACACAATCAAGGTGTTGTTTCCAAAGCTAAAAATCTTATTCAAGACCTAATGTGGACTATGGGCCCAGAATAAAAGTCAAGTAATTTATTATATATATGTGGAAATGACAAACCGGTATTGCTGAGCACAAATATCCATACCTCGCATTTGTAGGGTCTTTCTTCATCATTCAGATGAATCCTGGAATGTTTCCTCATATCGTAAGTACTGGCAAACAATTTCCCACACGTCTCGCAGGAGAAGGGCCTCTCTGAGCTGTGTCGCTTTACATGTTTTCTCATGGTGCTGGGGTCACGGAAAGCCATGCCACATACTTTACAATTGTACGGTTTTTCTCCTGACAAAAAAAAACAATGGATGAAATTTACTAATAAAGGTTTAATTTTACTAGAATTTTAATATGATTTGTACCTTGTTGGATTCTTTTGAGGCTATATATTGTGAAAGAAAAAAATTTAACTGCAAATTTTGACAACTTTTCTGCATACTAAAATATTTAAGGATTTAAAATTCTGAAAATGCACCCTTAACAATAAACCATCCAATTCTCCAGAGAATAATTAATTTAAAGTATGTGCCTATGTGGACAATATGAATGCAGGCATTTATGCATGATTCAGTCTATATTATACATTTGAGGAGTAAGTAAATAATATACTAACTTTTCAATTTACAAACAAAAAACCTTAGAAAATTAAAAAATAATAAAATAAAAATTGATGATACCAGTGTGAATTGTTTTATGTCTCTTGAGTGTGATTTTCTCCGCAAAAGATTTTCCGCATTCATCACAAGTTAGAGCCAGGTCCTTGTTGTGAATTCGATTATGCCTCTTTAAGGATTCATACAGTTCATACGCATTACTACAGGAGGAACATTTAAAGGCCTTTTTATCGTCGTGTTCATATCTCATATGAGAGGCATAACTCCGCCTAGAATCAAAAGTTGCCCGGCAGTGACAACACGTGTACATGTCCGAGATTCCGTGAACTTCCTGTATGTGGTCCTTTAACTCGCTCTGCCAGAATTTCTCGTAACAGTGATCACACGTCACCTTCCCTCCGCATTTCTTGGTCTGACTAGAAGTACCTTCCTCATCGTGGAGTGAATCGTCCTTAGGCCTCTTTATCCCGCGAGATTCTCTACGGGAGAATGTGCTGTTGTCCTGACATTTCTTGACGTGGAGGAGGTAAGCGGAGTTATTACCGAAGTCCTCTCCACATAAGTCACAGTGGTTCTCCACTTCCTCCACGATTATCCGCCGAGGCTGGCTCTTCCGTCGAGATTTTCGTGTCCCAGGTATTTCAATGTTTTTCTTTTTAATGGAGAATGGACAATTTTGAGGATTGTCTTGTTTTTCCTGGTGTTGGTTTTCGGTAGGTTCACTTGAGGAATCTTCAGGATCAACAGTCAACTCCTCTGTTAAATCCTCCATGTTCACTCCCTCTGAATATTTTCATGTGTTTGGAGATCTATCCTAAAAACATTTGCAAAAGAGTTTGAATAAATTTTAACACTGTTTGAATCAAATTCGTTTTTCAACAAGCACACTTGATTGTGAATATAATAATGTTGCTTATTTCAACAAGAAATATATCCATAGGACATGAATGCCCCGACTAGGATATATTAGTAAAGCAACATGAAAATTTGCATGTGTATAAAATTTGATCAGAATATTTTGAATAGTGATGAAGCTGAATTGCTTACATTAGTATGTATCAGCATATGAAGTTCGACACTAATTTACTTGGGAATGAAAATATAGGTCAGATCCAGCATCTGAAGCAAGTCTGGTAGTGTCCATCCCTAGATGCATCATCCATGCAAGTTTGGTTCAGGTAGGACTTATAGTGATTTCTGCAGTGCATGAGGAGGACTGAAGTTGAACCTCTTTATATCATGATCCAGATATAACACCCCTACCCCAAGTCACATATGCATCAATTTACAGACTCACCTGAGACAGGTAAGTTCCTCAACTGTCACTTGGAGAAGTCAGCAAATACAAAATCTGAGACTAGGCCTTCCATGAAACATACCTGTAATATATGTCAAATTATTAATATTTTATAATTAATATTAATATTAGATTTTTATGAACTGAAAAAAATCTCAAAGGACTTAAGAATAAGATGCAAAATCATAACTATTAATGTTTGATGACCCTAGGCTTCAAAATGTCTAGTAAATTATATGCCTCCAAAACAGTTTGCAAATTAAAACCTTCAAAACTCAAAAAGTCAGTCACAGTGACCTAGTTTAAGGCCAATATGACAAGGTCCTAAGATGCATCAAATGACAAGGGTCCTGGGTGCAACGCCTGACCTGGTCAGTCACATTTTAATTTTTCCTCCCTGTTACATTTACTTGCAGCTTGCCTGTTCTTTAATTAACCCCTTGGACTCATATGGGTTTTGACAGGATCAAAAATTCTGGATGGTGTGCCTTTGGGGTCATTGAATTTATAAGGAGTGAAGAATATGGTGATCGAGCCACTTTGATCACCCATTGTCATATAAAACAACTATGTCAGGAATCCTCTTGTCCAGGCCCAGGGTTCAAAACATATACAGTAGATGCATTAAATTCTGTTCTCCCTTCCTATTACATTTTAGCTCACCTGAGCTGAAAGCTCAAGTGAGCTTTTCTGATCACCCAAAGTCTGTCATCTGTCTAGCAGTCTGCCTGTCCATCCTTAAACTTTTCACATTTTCAACTTCTTTTCTATTAAGAACCACTGGGCCAATTTTAACCAAACTTCCTACAAAGCATTCTTGGATGAAGGGAAATTTAAATTGTAAACATTAAGGTCCTAGCCATTACAAGGGGAGATAAAAGACAAAAATAGGATGGTGTCATTAAAAAATCTCCTTCTCATAATTAAACCATCGGATCAGAAAAGCTGAAACTAATGTGGAAGCATCTTTGGGTAGAGTAGATTCTAAATTGTAAAAAGCATGACCCCTGGGGTAGGGTGGGACCACCATATTACATGTGGGAGAATCTAGTTGTGAAGAAAAGCATGACCAAAGTTACTCAGGTGAGCATTGTGGCCCATGGGTCTCTTGTTAAAATTTTAATTCTATATTTATCTGATGTTAATTGGCATATAATCACATTGGAATTTATGTAATAAGTTAAATAAAAGGCTGTCTGAAAGATATTTTCATTCAGTTTGAAATGAAAGAAATTCTAACTAAAATTTACATCATAATCATAATGACAACATTAATGAGTAATGTTAAAACAATCATGAAACCAATGCAAAGACATAAATAACATATACAGATCTATATGTTATCTTTCTGGATTTATTATAATGATTAATAAATAAGCATAACGTTAGATCTGCACCAGCTGGGTGGGGCATATGTGATCTGTTTTACAAACACATTTCTCCCACTTGCTGTTGACTGCAGTAAATTTTTACCTGATGAAATGCATTTATGCAATTATTTTCATACCCTGTTGCAAATAAACTCTTAACTGAATAAAATAATACACAATCGAGGGCATATGTCAGTCTCTGTCAATCCGGAAGTCAGTCTGCGCAGCTGCAGATTCGTGTGACATGCACTTCCGCTCACGTACGAAATGACAACAAGACAGAACCCAGTTCAGATTTTCTACGATGTTCTAGTGTAAGATGTAAATCGTCTGGTGAAAACAGTGGTGAAATATTTAGAAGAAAAATGGCGGTAAGTATTGGATACAGACATGTCTTCAATGAACACAGACAATGATTAATCGATGTGAGGCAGAAATGAAATAGGCAGAAAAATAATGTAGTCACAGTTAGTGTCACATGTGTATTATTGACCAGCAAGATCTATCGTGTTCGGAAGGCTACTAAACAGGTCTTTTCAAAATGTATCAAGTGATTTCATACTCAGCTATTCGTAATTTTGAAAGTATGGCTTGTTTAGTATGTTTAGAACTTTAGACTAGGGTGCCAATATTTATTCAAAGCTTAATTTATTTTCCTGTCTCTTCAAATAATTAGAGTTCATGTAATCAATACTTGGAGAAGATGACAATGAAGCAAATTGTGCATGTGTCCTTCAATCTATCTGTTTGTTAATCATTGTTATTGTTAATTGTCAACTAAAAAAAATATTGTCGGCAACAGATGTACATAATATCGCACAATAATTTATCCAGTGCATGCAATACAATATGCATGAAGCTGAATCATGAAAAACAGCTAACATTATAGATCTGTAATATTTCTCTCGTTCTTTTATCAGGATCATCCTCCAGGTGGGGGATCCACCGACTCAGAGGGTGCGGCAAAAAGTCCAGCATCATCAAAGGTATACATCCGTAATTACATTTAGTTAGAAAAAAAATGTGTCAAGTTACTTCCTCATGCTGGTCAATCATCCAGAAATCAGTCAGAAAAAATTACATACTTTTTCCTGCTATTACAAAATATCTGACCTTAATACCTGTATGATATATATGTCTGTGAGTTACAGGTAAATTTGATGTCACTCAGATGAATGTGTTTCACCTCCTTGTGGCAATTTGACATTTTAAGATAACATTTTTTTCCCTTTTGCATGAGAGTTGCTAATAGATTCTTACAAAAAAATGTAAAAAGCCAATAAGGGGAAGGGAGGATTTAACATTTCTCACGTGTCAGATCTCTAGTCTTAATGAAATGATGTATGTTGACAAGTTGTAAAATTTTGTTAAAGAAAGGCCTTTTTAACACTTCAAATTGGAGTTAAGTTGCATGAATTCACATGGATATATAGGCTGCTATGGTCTCAGCTAGTGTAAAAACTTTCTTTTGAACTCCAAATCAAGTAGAGCATTTTAATTGAAGTATGACAAAATGTGTTCTGGAGTTTTAGTTAGAGATAAATTTGGATAAACACAAGTTTTTGAGGATGTCAAGGAGTCATGATAAAGTATCTGGTTCTGATAAATCAATTATTATCAAAACAGTAAGAATCTTATAAAGCATGATTTGTAAGCTTAAAAATCAATCAATACTTTGTACACTATCTTCAGATTGCTTTATGCAAACACACTTGTTAAATGAATATTTACACTGAAATTTTATCTGTTTTTATCAGGGATCTGTAAGTATACAATTGAATATATATATATTATATAATTTATGGTATATTGTTTTTTTTTATTTTACATGCTATGAACACCAGTTTATCATTTTTAGTCAACATAAGAAGTATTGTAAATAAAATTGTATGACATGATATTAAAAGTATAAATATAATTTTTTTTTTGTAAAATCATTAAAAATAATGTAATTTCTTTGTACCTGCATGTTGGAATGGGTATTTACAGGTACATCATCCTCTGTTGATTTTATTTGACAATTTATTAGTAAGAATTCTGCTTGGCTTTATCAGAAATTGGATTCAATTATTTAAATATAGTCATCTCATAGTCATCTCAAAAGCTTATATTATGATAGGCCTACATTATCATGAATTTTATTAAAAGGAGAATTAGCAAGTTTACACAAAAATGTAATCTGATCATATGCTTTTTAAATACATTTTCAAAGATCAATTTTGCTTGATTGGAAATTTAGGACAGGTAAAAATAGCAATTTAACAAGCAGGCTGAAGCAGCGTACATTGTAACTCTATAATCTAGTCAGAAATTTTATTGTGATTTTTTTGCTATCTGTCTTTTATGATCATGAGCGTAAAGTATAAATCGATTGCCATTACATACTTGTATATCCTTTAACTATATCCTTCTTAAATTTTAGAATTTTTTTTCAGCTGGATAATTTGTCCCGTGAAGATCTGACAAAGTTTGTCAAGAAACAGATGCTTCTTCTCCAGAAAACACGGGCAAAATGTGACGGTAAACTTCATTTTCTTTACATCAACAAACCTTGAGTTGATAATGTTTACTGGGGTATGCAGGAATGATCATAAGATTTTACTTAGTTTGCATTAGTTAAGAGAAAGGATTGTTAGTCTGTGAATGGCCTTAATGTATTAATGATGTTATTGATATAAACTTATAATGGTTTTGACTGTGCATACTGGCCTGGGTAACTCAGTTGATATTTGATTTGAACATATTATATTAAGTAAGAAATACGTAACCAGATTGGGCAGCGGGCATAGCCTATATAAGCCCTCTCCAAAACTCAGTTAATAGAGCACCTAACTAGTGATGCAGGAACTCCAGTTCAATTCCCAGTCCAGCATTACATTTTCCTCCTTCCCTCATCGCATCACAATGAATGATGGATAACACAAGTTGCTGCTGTTTCTAACCACCTAAGTAACTATATAAATGTGCTTTTCAGAGTTGACAAAGAAAGTGACAGAGTTGGAGTCCCAAAGACCCCAGGGTGAGGGAGAGAGGGGAGACGGAAACCAGGAGGATATAAAGGTGAGAACTTGTATACCTGTCACAATTACTGCCATAGTGGTACAGGTACATTATGGAGGGTACATTTGGATAAGTTTAGTTTAGGAAGTTAATTTTGTATATGAAAGATTTGTAGTTTGTCCTAAAAGTCTATAATGATAAGGGATCCAAGATAGTTCAAAATGAAAAAAAAAAGATTTGAAACAAGTGAAGCTTTTACAAAAATAAGTTTACCCGTAGAAGCAATTTTAATGATATACTGTAGAATCACAAATTTTCGTGGGGATAAAATTTCGTTGATTTGTCATCAAAAAAAGTTTGTGGACATTTAATTTCGTTGACTTGAAAGTAATCCTTTTCAACATATAGTCATATAAAATTTCGTGTGGGATTAAATTTCGTTGATAATTGTTAACAACGAAATAAATGAAATTTAATCCCCCATGAATATTTGTGCTTTTACAGTATATTATGGAATTTTCCTCTGTTAAATATTTTGGCCGGCCCAATCATGATTTTAGCCAGGTGAAGTTCTTAGTACCATCAGATTTTGAAAGGCCTGGAAAAGAGAATAATGAATTTTGTTAAAATAGTAACTGTATTAATAAGCCAGACAAATACCGTACTTAATATATAATCTCTGTTTTAGGACTTAAAGACAAAAATAGAAGAACTAGAAGCAGAGAAGAAAGAGATGCTGACAGCATACAATGCTGTACAGGCCTCACAAGAACTGGCCGCTAACAAGCTACAGGTACTTATGACAGAATGGAATACACTAATAAAATACAGGTGTCTTACACTACAGCAGAGTGGTAGGGATGCAGTCAATGCTAGATACAAAGAGACATACAAATACTGTATCAAAATAGTTTTGTGGTTTAAAAATTTGACCATTTGAAAGTAGAAAATTTGTAGATTAAAATATGTCTTGGAAACAAAGAGTATTTCAGAAATAATTTTTTTTTTTGGAAAGTGAAATATATCATAGGGTGTAACATATTAGGTGTTCAACAATTTTTTTTTTTATGTTTATTTAGGAAATGGAGGGACAGCTCAATGAAGCAAACAAAGAAAAAGAAGAAATTAGGGCACAACTGTCAGCTTCTAAAAGAGAAAAGGAAGTATGTATCTAATATAATAATTATGATTCTGTCTCCATTTAAAACAAGTCATCAAAGAATTAAGTCTTATGGTAGAGACAGTAAGAAATGATTCTCGTTTTATTTTTTAGGAACTAGAGGAGCAGCTAGAGTGTATGAAGATGAAGGATGAGACTCTGAACTCCTCTCTACACTTCATGCAGCAAGAACAGAGTCAGCTGCTGGAGGAAAATAAGGTAAAACCTCGTCCTCTCAATGGGACCTAGAAAAAACTGAGAGATTCTTGTTCTACTTTATGCCGTAGGAAAGGGAGATCGTTGTAGGAGGGAATAAATAAAACAAGCTTAAAAATTACAAATATGAAAACACAAATTAAACAATAATGACCTGATGACAGAGAAAAAGTTTCATGATGGAACTTTGCTCTTAACACTGAGCCAGCTAAACATGGAAATGACATTCTTCAAATTAATTAAAGAAAAAAACCCCACATTCATGTCTTTTAAAACAAAGCAAGGAAATAAAATGAATGAATAAGAAAAAAGCATCAAAGAGACTTTTAATTGATAAAAACTCATGCATTATTTTACTTGTTTTGTAGAAATTAAAGGAACAGGAAACTGTGCTATCTGATGCCAGAGATATTGTGATGCAGAAACTGAAAGCCATGAAACAACTCCAGATGAAGAGCCAGGCCGAGTTTGAAGAGCAGATACAGAAGTTAACAGAGGGAAAGCAGGAGTTGTCTGCTTTGATACAGACCCTGGAGAAAGAGAAGAAGGAGGCAGAAGACCTGGCTACTGAGAGAGAAAATCAGGTCAAGGTCATGACCCAGGAAATGGACAAAATTAAGTCACAATTGGAGGAGGGAGGTGAACAGAAAGGTCAGGGAGGTGAGAGTGAGGAGATAGTCCAGAAAGTGGAACAGCTAGAGAAACTGTGTCAGCAATTGAAAGAGGAAAAGCAGGACTTGGAATCAAAGCTTAGTGAACAGACTTTAGAGGTGGAGAAATTCAAGTCTGAGATAATGAAGAAGGAGGAGTTACTGAACCAGTCTTCATCAGAAATGGAAAAGCTGAAATCTGACTTGAAATTTGTTGCAGAGGAACTTAAAAAGTCACAGGAGCAGTCATCAGAAGAAGTGGAGAAAATGAAATTGGACTTGAATTCTGTTACTGAGGAACTTCAGAAATCACAAGGACAGTCTTCATCAGAAGAAGTAGAGAAGTTAAAATCTGACTTGAATTTTGCTACTGAGGAACTTAAAAAGTCACAGGAACTGTGTGTAAGTGAACAGAGATTTAAAGAAGATCTTCAGAGTGAGATTGATAATTTACAGTTCCAAATTCATGAACTCATGCATGAAAAAGAGGAAGAATCTCAAAAAGAGGCAGCTGCTGAAAAACCCAAACAAAAAGCTCAGGAAGCAAAGAAGAATGGGAAATCTGCTCCAAAGGGTAACGGAGCCATTCCAAAAACTACTGATATAAGAAAGAAGTTGCAATTGGTCACAAGGGAAAAAGAGCAGATAGAGCAGGAAATGAAGAAGGTGCTCTCAAGAGATGAGAGTCTGTCGTACGAGGTCAGCGAACTGCAGGAAGAAAAGGAGATGTTGAGGAATGACGTTCAGCAGATGAATGAACAGATGGGAGAGTGGGAACATATGATGAACATGTTACAGGAGGATAAGAACAGGATGTTACAGGAACTGGATGCAGCAGAAGCCAAGGAAAAGAGGATTCTGGGAGAGCTAGACGTGGTGAGGGAGATACTGGGGATGGGGAAGAGGGCAGAGAAGAAGGAGAGGGAAGAAGATGAAGAAGACGAGGTGACTGATGATGGGGATGATGTGTTTGAAGCTGATGAGGGGCCAGGGATTGTGATCACTGAGTTGGAGAAAATGAAAATGAGGCTGAATGAAATTGTGGCTCAGAATAGTCAGTTGAAGGTGGATTTAGACAGTGCCTATGCAAGCAAAGGAGACAGTACGGTAGAAATCCAAGCTGTGAAGAGGGAGTTAGCTACGATGGCATGTGAGAAAGAATCAGCTGAGAGGGAGAAAGAGTCTTTGTCTGTTATTATGAAATTGGCTCAGGAGAAGGAGAAAGATCTCACAGAAGAGAACTCCAGTCTGAAGGGAGTTGTTGATCAGAATGAGCAGGAGAAGGCAGAACTCAGGGGAAGGATCCAGGAACTTCAGCAGAAGATAAGTGAGTTGGAGGGAGAGAAGCAGGAGCTGATCAAGGCAGCAGAGGATTCCAAGGAAAGATATAAAGAAATGGAGGAGAAGGTGAAAGAGAGGCAGGCTTATACTGAGGAACTGGAAAACCAGATTCTGGAAATGTCCAACAACCTTGCAGAGGCACGTAAGAAACATGAGCAGTTTATAGCAAAAATGGAGGTGGAAGGAGAGTCAGCCACATCCGTGCTGCAGACAGAAATAGAGAATATGAAGGCAAGGATTGAGGAGCTTGAAAAGGAAGTGGAAAGGAGGAAACAGGAAGTGGAGGATGTGCAGGGTCAAAGGTCAGAGATGGAGAAGAAATTCATGGATATATCTGAGGAGTTACAGAGAGTGAAAGAATTATCTGAACTTAGTGAGAAAGAAAAATCTGAATTATTAACTCAGGTTGAGAATTTAAGTAAAGTGCAATCAGAAAAGGATGACATTTTGGAAAATTTTGACAATTTGAAAGCAAACTTAGATGCTATGGAAACAGAAAAAGCACAATTCTTAGAAACAATCAGTCAACTTAACAAAGAAAAAGATGAACAAGTTTCATTAGTGGATCAGTTCTCAAATAGTGTCAAAGAAAAAGAACTGATAATTGAAAATCTAAAAAGTGAATTAGAGTTGCTAAGACAAAATGCACAAGAGAAAGAATCTGTAGAAAGTGAACTGGTTCAAAAACTTAATAATGGGATTGAAAACACAATGAGAGAACTGTCTGAAGCTCAGAGAGACTTGGTAGATGTGGAAGAAAAAGTGAAGTGCTTGGAGGGTGAGAAAAGTGAGTTGAATTCTAGGTTGGAGGAGAAAGAGGTACAGAATTCAGAACTGCAGGCTTCATTATCAGAAATGTCTGAAAAGGTTGAAAACTTGAGTAAAGAACTTTCTAGTCTATCGGAACAAAAAGAGGAGCTGCAGAAAGATTTGGATTGGAAAATGAAAGAAATTGAAGATTTAAAGATTCAGTTGCAGAAGACAGAGTCAGAGAGGAATGAACAAACAGAAGCAGTGGAGAAGTTACAGGGAATTCTTCAGATGACTGACTCAGAAAAGGCAGAAAATCTGCAGGAGATAGAAAGTCTGAAGACTTCATTAAAGAACATTGAAGAGGATAAAAATAATAAAATTGAGAACTTGAAGAATTGTTTACAGGCCATGGAGTCTGAGAAAGATGGACTGAAAGAACTGAGAGATCAGTATGAGGAGGTTAAAGGTCAGAATGATCAACTTCTAGAGGAAGTGAAAATGTTGAAGGAGGATTGTGGGAAATCAAAAACTGAAAATGAGAATCTGAGAGAAGAAATGAAGACTATTTCAGAGGGAGTGAGTGGTGTTCAGAATGAGAGAGAGATGCTGGCATCAGAGGTTGAAAAATTGAAATGTGAAAACGAAAAACTAGAGGGCGCTCTTTGTCAAAAGGAGGAAGAAGTTCAAAATTTGTGTTCAGTGAAAGAAGAAAAGACTGTCTTGGAAACAGAGATTCAAAAACTAAAAACTGACCTTGAAGAAAGTGTGACAAAATTCCAGGAGGTACAAACTCAGTTGATTGAAAGTCAGAAGGAAAGGGGGTCTTTGGAAGACGAAATTCAGAGACTAAAAACTGAGTTGGATGAAATATTCCGACAGAAATCTGTGCTGGATGAGACTTTGAATGAGTTGAGAGCTCAGATTTCAGGGAGAGATACAGAGGAGAATTCAATGTTAAAAGACATCCAGAGCAAAATCGAAGTAATTCAGAATTTAGAGGAAGACAAGATAAAAATGGAAACAAAATATAAAGAACTTGAAAATGATTGTGAGAGTTTAAAGAGCTCTGTGGATGAAAAAGCTAAACAAGTAGAGGACTTAACATCAGAGTTAGAACAAGCAAGAAAAGACTTGAATTCAGTGAATGTGACAAACAATGAAATGCAGAAAGTGGAGGCCCAGTTGAGGAATGAGTTATCTGCCCTTGGTGAAAAGGTTGCAGAATTGCAGTCGGCAAACAGTGACCTTAACGTGCAAATCCAAGACCTGAAAGGAAAAGAAAACGAGACTCAACAAAAATCAGAGGTAGGGCTTATCTATCAGTTTTAAAATCATCTGAAACTAATTGTTCTGGCATGAATAATTTTGGAGGAGTTAATTTTTGGTTGCTTTTCAGGTCACTTAAAATTCTCCATCTACAAAATTAAATCTTCATGACCCTCTTGTTTGTTCTCAAACCACAAACATTTGCCCCCAAGAAAATATGTGATTTTCTTTTGATTCAAAACTTATCAATTTATGATGTATTTTGATTGATGAGTTGGTGATCAATTTTAACTCTTGCAATATTTTTAAAGCTACAAGTTTCTTAAATAACATTTTATCTCTTGTTGTACAGAGTTCTAATGAGGAGAATAAAAGCTTGCAGCAGAAACTTAAGGAAAAGGAGGAAATGTACAACAAACTCAAATCTCTGGCCATGAAAAGCAAGAAAGAGGCAGGGCAGCTCAAATCCAAGGTTAGTTAGCTAAAATGTTGATTAACGTGACATTGTATACTTATTATTGACAGTTTTAAAATCACTGATAAAAAATAAAAGTAGGTACATGCATTAAAAAATGACACATTTTGTTTAAGCTATTGTCAATTTTACTGAAAACATTAATTTTATTAATGTTTCCTTTTCCTTCTACAGAGTGATGAGCTACAAAAAGAGAGAGACGAATCTGTGAAGAAATGTGAAGAGCTTCAGCAGCAGTTGTCTGCCCTTGAAATCTCCCAGAAGTCAGAATCAGAACTCACAAAGAGTTTCCAGGTGAGAATTTATCACATTGTCTTGTCACATTCAGAGAACATTCAGAATTTGCCAGAGTTACTAATAATGGGAACAATAATCTAATACTTCAGGTAAATTTCAAACTAATACATGTGACCTGAATCTGTTGTAAGGGATTCCAAAATCTAAGGGCTTGGACTTCAAACATTTTAATTAGGAATAAAAATTAAGAATATATCTATATCTTGATTGATTCTGTAATTGCACTGTTCTTCCTAAACGATGGCTTATTATGGCTTCTGTAAATACAGCTTTTACAGGAGAAGTTTGAAAAATTGGAGTTGGAGTATGACTCAAAGACAAAGGAATCAGACAACTACAAGTCTGACCTTGAGAAGGTTATCTCAGAGATGGCACAGGTCAAGGAGACGATTGTCACAAGTAAAGAGGAGAAAGAACAACTCATAAAGGAAGCAGACAGATTGAAAGGAGAGGTCAAGGTAAAGTCAAATCAAAGGTGAAGGTCATTTACTGATATTCAAAACTCAAAGGTCAGGGTCATTTCTAGCTTAAATATTAACCACATACTGGAAAAGCTTATATTGCTATATCCTAGATCTGTAGAGAAAAAGAATTGATACATTATAGAAGACATACTTGGATTACTGTTTATAAAGTGTAAGCACCTGTAATGGTTTCCAAATGTTACTTTATCAAATATTTTACTGTCTGCTGCATATTTTACAGAAACAAGAGACAGCTGTATCTGATCTGAAAGGAAAACTGGCATCTGCTGAAAAAGAGAGGGAGGCTTACAGAATCCAGAAAGATGAAGTTGTAAAGGAAAAACAACAGGTTTGATTCGAACAACACACCATGTTTTTTTTTTCTAATTCCCTGAGTAAGGCAGTTATGAATTTAATTTTGTATTTTTTATTGCATTTTGATCTTAATTTAAGAGAGGAAGGAGGGTTAATTAATTAAGAGAGAAGAAAAACCAACTTAAAAACTGAAATATACTTTCAAATTCCCTTTTTTTAAAAAAAATGCTTTCTTTGATTTTTTCTTTAAGGATTATTAGGTAACAAAAATCTGGACTTAAGTTTTTCATTGTGCTTGTTTTCTTTAAAAAGGTGCAAGGAAAATTACAAGATTCAGAAGAGAGAATGAAGAAAGAAGGAGAGAAGCACAAGAGTGTAGTGACAGGACTTCAGAGTCAAGTCCAGGAGATACAGAGGCAGCTAGGACTAGCCAAACAGGTGAGAGAGAGAGAGAGAGAGAGAGAGAGAGAGAGAGAGAGAGAGAGAGAGAGAAGGGAGGTGGAGAAAGAGTGTGAGGGGAGGGGAGAGAGAGATTCTGAGACAGTGGGAGGGGGGGGAATGGAAGAAGAGAAAAAAAGAAAATGAATGCAGGTTAATTTTGCAAAGTACATGTATTGTGTACATTCTGAGCCTATACAGGGATCTTATTAATGTCAGACATGCTTCACACAGATACTGACTTTTAATCTATGTTTAAATTTATTCATATGCAATTAAAAACAAACAAAAATACAACTGGTATACTGTATATTCTTGGTGACCAAAGCTAATTGAATGTTTATTCTTACTTTGTAGGAGGCCAAGCAGAGTAATATGATGGACCTGGAGATTGCAGACTATGAGAGAACTGTAGAGGCCCTGAACAAGACTATCTCTGATAAGGATGTGACAATCATGGAACTGAGGGGGGAGGTAGAGAGGCTGGAGGAGAAAGCTAAGGCCCTCAAAGAACAGATAGGTATGTACTAATGAGGGGAGGATCACAGAACTGAGGGGGGAGGCTGGAGGAGAAAGCCAAGGCCCTCAAAGACAGATAGGTATGTACTAATGAGGGGAGGATCACAGAACTGAGGGGGGGAGAGGCTGGAGGAGAAAGTCAAGGTCCTCAAAGAACAGATAGGTATGTACTAATGAGGGGAGGATCACAGAACTGAGTTGGGAGGGGGAGAGGCTGGAGGAGAAAGCCAAGGCCCTCAAAGAACAGATAGGTACTAGCTTAATTGTGAATTAATTATGTCTAACTATTGACACACAAACATGCATCATTGTGCAGTTACTGAATACATTGTACAAATTTACTAGATTAATGATGGTCATATGTTTACCCTTTTAAACTCAGAGCAAAAGAATTGGGTTAGTAAATTGGAAAGAAATCCTCCTAAAAAAAATCCATTTACTTCGTGACGGGTAGTGAAAATTGATAAATTTAAAAAAAATTATATTGTGGCAGTCAAAAAGTTTTGAATCAGGTTGTCTTTAGCCAGTTGGTCTGGAGAGGGCAATTTTCAAAGATGACCTTTTTCAAATTTATTGAATTGTACAATGAATAATCACAGGTTAAGATGATTATTTCTCCCACTATAGATGCTGTAGAGGAACAGAGAGTCCAGGCAGATGACAGAGCCAACAAACTGAAACAGATGTTGGTCAAAACCAAGAAAGAGCTGTCGGATGCCAAGAAAACGGTAAACAAACTTAACAAACGACAAAAATTTAAAATTGTTACATGTTTGATATATTAAAAACATGCAATAGCTCAGTTTGTGAATAAATTGAAGTTGAAAAAAATTATCTTCGTCAGATTAAATTATAACTTAGTTGTGTCAGATCATAACAACCCTTCCCACACAAATGTAGGACTATATCATTTTAACGATAGAATGTTCTATCTATATCAAAACAACTTTTAAGATGGATACATAAGAGTGACTGCGCTGTCATGTTTTTCCAGGAAACAGAGCAGAGGTCATCTGATGCCCAATTGAGAGGTCAGCTGGAGGGACTGAATCAACAAGTGGAGGAGAACAAGGTAAGAAAACTAGGTCAGAGATCACGGGGGGGCAAAAATGTAGGTCATAAACATTCATTTACATGCATTTCCTGAAAATTGGGGGATAAAAATACAGGAAATCTTTTGATTGTAAAGTGTATGATAAACATTTTTATTTTTAAAAAGTTGCAGGCACCTTATTGATAGTACCTGTGAAAGAGAAAAAACATTTGATGAAGGCTAGACATTGTGAACATCTCTTGTACAAAAAAATTCTTTTAAAGACTCCATTATGATAAAAAGTGTGATTTGTTTACCAACCTTTCTTGACCCTTTTTGACCTTTCTTGACCTTTGTAACAGATACAGATGGGAGAACTTGCAGCAGAGAAGCAGAAATTACAGGAGAAGCTGCGGTCCCTGACTGATTCTAACCAGAGGACGATCCGATCTCTTGAGGGGCGGATCCAGTCACTTCAGGATGACCTTGAGGTCACTAGGAGTGAGATGAAGGCCGTCCAGGCAGAGTACGATGGATACAAGGTAAAGTCATAGAAGGGAGTCTTAGATTCTTATCCTTATTCAATGTTTGTTGGGGTGAAGTTTTGACTGAAAAATCTCCTTTGAAACTTGATATTTCTAAAATGTTGGGAAAATCAGAAAACTGAGCATTTCTTAAAAAATTTAGATTTTTTTTGTGCATCTAAATCTAAGTTAATTTAATATTTTCCTGAGAAAAAAGGTCATTATCATATACAGTTGATGACTTTCTGTTATATTACCGTATATCAGGTTTTTTCCGCGTCATGTTTTTCGCGAATCAGAACCTAAATCAGTATATTAAATTTACGCGAATCAAATTTTCACTATTTTAAAGTCCCAGTGATTATATTATTAACAATTGTTTAAGTCTATGAAAGAAATGGATGTAAAATGTAAAGTCATTAAGCTTCAGTTACAACATACGGGTGAGAAATAGATCGATCGACCTTCACCTCTTCAATTTCGGAAGACACGCACAGCTGATTACACACCTGTGTTGCATACTAACTCTCAAATCCACAGATATTATTTTTTAAAGATTTAAACAATCATAGGTCATTTAGTGTTCCAAACTGACTAGCAGCTCAGGTATAATTAGTTTAATAGCTTTTGCAAGGAACGTGACCCATATAATTAGCTAGCTTGTCAATTAGTAAACAAACAATAAGCGCTTATACCTATTACCGGTATCTTGCGCTTGTTCTCTGATCCCGCTATTTCTACCCTCTACGATATAAGCATTAAGAAATAATTCTATTACAAGAAGAAAACTTTGTATTAAATTTACGCTGTTTTATTTTCCGCGATTCAAAACTCGTCGCGAACAAAGCGGAAATTGGATACACGCGGAAAAATCCTGATATACGGTATTCCATTTCAGGTGAGGGTACACAGTGTGTTGAAACAGCAGAAGAAAGGAAGTCAGGAATCAGCTGTCAGTGAGAGTGAGAAAATGGAAAGGTCAGAGTTAATAACAACTAATCCAAAGCATTCTTCTTGCAATAAAGTTCTAGGTCATGCACATTTTCTTGTAGAAATACAGTGAGAGTGTACAACCTTATTTCATAAAAAGTAAAATTAGAGATAAGGAAATGATTACTTGTATTTTGCCCAGTTTTGATAGCTTCAGTGTATTTTAATAACATTTTTGTTTTTTTCATTTAGAGAGAGACTAAAAAAGGCTGTAGAACAACTGAAGGCAAAGATCCAGGATTTAAGGTAAACATGACACTAAGCAGATTATTGATAAACTAAAAATGTAATGCTTTAATATTTCTACATGTATATTAAAGAAAAATTTTAATATCATTTTGGAGTACTGCAGAAATACTTTTTCTGTCTGGTATTAATTTATGCAATGTACAACAAATTACTGTGGAAATTTGACATAGTCAAGAGAAAGAGAGGTCTCCACTCTTACTAACAATGTGCTTTCCTATCTTAGAAATTGAGGCAAAAGTTTGCTATCATCACGTCAGCAAATGAAAGAAAAGCCCTGAAACCATTTCAGACTTTGGGAATGTTAATGTTTGCATTAGATATATATCTGAAACCCAATTTGAGTCTGTCAAGTATACTCAGATTTGTTTGTTTGCAGTGATAAACTGAGGACAGCCGAGTCTGATTTGGAGATACAACAGGAGGAGAACGCCCACTTAATGGGTCGCTATAACAAGCTAGTGGCTGACATACAGGAGAAGGACAATACTAATAGGAGAAGGTAAGTACCATTCTCATAAGTAATAGTTAATCCCCCCCCCCTCCATCCCCCTTAATGGGTCGCTATAACAAACAAGTGGCTGATATACAGGAGAAAGATAATTCCAACAGGAGGAGGTGAGTACAATTCTCATAAGTAGTGGTTACACCAACACACTTAATGGGTCACTATAACAAGCAAGTGGCAGACTTAAAGGAGAAGGATATAAGCAATAAGGGAAAGTCAGTACAGTTCTCAAACATTGTTATTTAATGATTACATACCCCCACAGATTATATTTAATGCCACCCATATTCTATGGGTTTCATACTCCAACAGAAATTTAATTGTATGCCACCTGTACATACATATACATATAATGTGAATAGAAATTATGAAAATAAACTTCTAATATATTGTAATGTGGTTGTAGGTTGGAGGACCTGGCTCATGAGAAAGATCTACTGGTCAAGGAACAGAAAGAAACCATTAAACAGCTCAACCTACAGAATGATACACTCACTCTATCATTCAAGGTCTGACAACTTTACTGAGTAGTAGAGCACAGTTGTAAATACAAGTATAGTTAAAACAGGTTTTATGAATGCAAAGGTGAGGATGCTTCTTGATATATTTGATTTTTTTTTGTATTTTAGGATCAGATTCAGTCTTTACAGGAAGACCAGAGCCGTGCCATCAACATGTTACAGATGCAGATAGACTCACTGGAACGTGAAAACACTCGCCTACAGAGGGAGCTGCAGCAGCAGATGTCAAAGGTCACCAATGTGCGGTCAGCCATGGTAACAGAGAGACAGAGTCCCGTGTCTACGGGGAATGAGTTTATGGTTCACGACATCAGGCACGAAGAGAGACAGGAAGGGGAGGTAAGTCAGACAGTTATCAGTAGAAAAGTAATAACTTCATTCATTATTAGTGCATATTTATTGCATTACTTTTGGAGAATTAGATGAAGATAGATATCTGTAAACCAACTATTATTCACATGTGAGAAATATCCATGAGTTTTGCGACTTACTTTTACTTTTAGGAATATTAATCGCTGTGAACTATTTATTTTGCTATGTATTGATAAAGAATGTTTCCTCACTCATGAAGATTTAATGTGGTGGAAATGGAATGCAAACTGAGGAATCTGGAATAAAAGATGATATGAATAATAGTAACTGTTGGTTTTATCTGTTCAAATATAGTGATAAAGTATTTGCAAGTCCTGATATTTTGACAATTTTGGAATGTAATTACTGTAAAACAACTTTTATTCGTGACGACTTTATTTCGCGATTTACCAGGGATATACTAGTTCACGACAATTAATTTTCATGATCAAGCCTATTTTGTATCTGTTGTTATGAGGCACATAGACTTTAACGACTGTTTCACAGTGAGAAATATTCGCGATGACCCTTGCGAAAATTTCTCACACGCTAAAAAGTTGGTTTACAGTATATAAGTTTCTGTTAGACTGCTCAAATATATATATTTATGCTTGTGATTTGTTTTCATTTCAACCGCTTTTGTTGCAGGGATCTGAAATAGTTGATCCAGAACCTTGTTCAAAGGTACATTGAACATTTGTACATTGTAATACTGAATACATAAATAGTGGCATTTGTACATATAATATTTCATTACAAAGCATTTTTATAAATGCACTTTGAAAGTTTTAATGAATTTCAAGGTGAATAGATTAAATAAATTCATTATGAGCAGTTGAGACAATATATTATATATAGTAAAGATTTTGATACAGAGTCATCCATATTCAAGTTGATGTTTTTCTTTCCATAGGGCACAAGTAAACCGTCCCCATTACCACTAGACAGGCTTTTATCCACAGGCCCTGAAGACACAGGTACACAAACACTGGGATGAAACATTATCATAATTACTGCTAATGTTTAGTAATGGGGTCTACTTAAAATACTATATCTGATCCTGTAGAATGCAGTACATACTTGATAGCTTGAATTCTGTTCACTAGACTCAATTTAATAACATTTTCTGGTGTAAATCTCTGAGATCGGTTTATTAGTGTGATAACTTTAAATTTGATTTAGTCATTTGATTTAGTCAATATTATTCAACATCATTTATTTGAATGATTAACAACTGGTAATTTTCTTGAGCATTTTGCATGTTTTTTGCCCATGAATTGAATATAGATGTGTTTAAATGGTAAAGAAATTAAAACTGCAGATTATGATGCAAATCTTGGTAATTTTTGAATTTCAGTGTATCCTAAAGAAGTGACTGAGGTAGAAGTGGAGACATTGAGAGAGAACCTGTCCACGGCTCACAAACGGATCGAGCATCTCAACGAGGTAAGCAGTGAGTCTGATACCTGTTCATACATTATCTCAACACCTCAAAACATGGCTAACAGAGGTTAGCAACTTTGATTTAGAATGTAAACTAGCATCTAATGAAGATGCTGGATGCTTGCAAGAAATCTTGCCTGATAAATAATTATTATATGAGCTTAAAGTCTCTTTCAATCAATTCACTTGTTAAGAATGTTGTTAACTTGATGTGGAATTGTGGATTGAGCTGAAAATACATGTACACATGTTGAAAAAAAATTAAAAGTCCATGTTGATATTTGTGTGTAGTTGTCCAATGAGAATGAGGCCACGGTGATGAGGCTGGAGGAACAGGCCAAGATTCTGAAGGAGGAAATCCGACGACTGGAGCGGAACCAGCAACGTGAGAAAGAGGCTGCCAACATGGAGTACCTCAAGAACATCCTTCTAAAGGTGAATACTGTAAATCACTTTTTATTCGCGAGAACTTTATTTTCGCGTAATTACGCGAGACAGTGTGTTCGCGAAAATGTAATTCTCGCGTATAATAGCATTCCTTAAGATTATATAGAGCAGTATTTTCATTTTGATGTCAGTAAGGAAACTTTTTAAACTTTAAGAACATTCTGCATATTGATTTAAACCTTGTCAATGAATTGAATGTGACCTTGACATTTTGTAGTTCCTGAGTTTGAAGGTCGGAGACGAGAGACAGCAGCTGGTTCCTGTTCTGACGACAATGTTAAAACTCAGTCCCGAGGAAAAGGCAACTCTGGATACAGCTGCTCAGGGTAAGGGAGATAATCAATCTAAAAACTGTAAGGGAGATAATCAATCTAAAAACTGTAAGGGAGATAATCAATCTTAAAACTCTCACTGTTTGTACACTACTGTCTAAAGGTGAAGGAGACATAATGTAAACAATAGTCAGTGTTTGTATGCTTTGTTTTTTTGTTTTTTTTTGTTGAGAAATAATTATTCATACATGTATTTATAAAATGATACTTAAAAAGCAAGAAATGATTCTTTAAAAAAAAGTTAAAATGTTTTAAAAATATTGTAGGAGAAGAAAATGCATCTAATCCACAACAACAACAGCAAGGAGGTGGATGGGGGTCGTATCTCCACCGATGGTCAGGGTTAGTGTGAGAAATCATCCCAACATTCCTACACAAACAAACGGACCAGAAGTAGCACTGTTCTGACAAAGCATGAAGGAACTTGAAGCCATTCCCAGGAGTGAAAAATAAAGACTAGTTTATTCCATTGGAGAGATGGTGAAGAGCTTGATTATTTATTTTCTGAGAAAAGCATGATATTGCGGAAACACAGGAAGAAATGATGAATGACGGCACAGTCAGAACCAGTCTGATTGTCCTTGTGTCTGTGTGTGTCTACTGTTTACAGACAGCAGTCCTGTGATAACTGGAATCAAGACTCTGATATGAAAAATGTCCTTTGTTAGGTTTGACACAAGTGCTAGCTTCATTGTACATTCCAAACTGCCAAGGATAATACTTTTTTTCTGTATAACTTTTTTTCTTGATTCATTTCCAGATGCATGTTAAGTGCTGTTTATTCAGGAATTGTATACTGATGCACAAAAAAAATGATGCTGTAACATAAAATTTCATTATAAAATGCATTGATGGCAATTTTGTCAGTCTTATATAAATTTTCTTTTTACTTTGTAAAAATCAACTAAAGCTATGACAGTCACTGTTAAACATACTTTGGCATATAAGAGGTAGACTTTGTGATGGAAATGAAAATGTCAATGCTATACATGTATTATTTATTTATAGATACTGTATGTAATTGCTATAAAAGTCAATTCACTATAATATCAATTTAATGAAATATTTGACCAGATTTGAAGGTAAATGACAAGTACATGTATTTGATGAACAAGTACAGTATTAAAATTTTGGTGAATTTAGGACTACACATACATTTTAAGTATGGGACAATGTAATATTTGGACAATTATAACTTTATCTTAGCATTTTAGTCATCATAGATTTCTTGAAATTTAAAATTGATGTACATAAGTTCCCATCTGAGGTCCATTATATTTTTATATGACAAACAAGTCATGTGCTGCGACTTGCCTGTAATACAGTAACTGAGTGTAGTTAAACATTTAGAGCATATTGTCCTGTTCTGTGATCAGCAAATGTGTACAAGGTATCTTTTTCACGGTGTCTTTCTAAAATTGTGTGAGATAGAAAGTTTTGATGTCTGTGATTGTAAAGTGTTCAATAGTAAAGTCACGGTAGATTGTGATTTAGAGAAGATATTAATTAATGATAACAGAAATGAATTTAATGATTGGATGTATTGGTACCTGTAGTTCTAAAGGGGACTGAAGTTTTGTGGGATCATAATTCATTTACTAGAGTATTTGGAAATACTTTCTTAAATTGACATTCCACTATTTCAACTTAAAATTCTTTGTCAAACATTTAGTATAAACAGAAATAAAAAAAAAAACATCATTATCCTCAAAACTTTCTTATGCATAAAAAACACCACGTAAAACATTACTTGTAATGACGGTTGTTCAGTGTGTATTAAGTATAAAGGGGACGTGATGGATCATAGAATGTCATTGATTTTTATATGTTCAACAATCGTTCTATCTGCTCTTTTCTTATCATTTCTTTTATTTTTTTTATATGTCAGAGTGTTTTTGCCTTAAAAAAATGAAACATTATAGTCATTGATGTTTGTTTGCATTTATTTGTTATATTAACCATGCTGGTCTTTCAGAGTGCAATATTGTGATGACTTAATAAAATGGTATTTCTACAATTTTGTTTTTGTTGTTTTGAATATGAAAAGGGCATGTACTGTGATTATTGTATAATACAAGATCATTAGAGTTGCAAGCATTGTACGGTGGTTATGCTCTAACGTAGTGAAGTAAGGAGCTACATCACAGGTTCGAATCCTCTCCTTGACCTTATGTATAATGCTCACAATAAAGGCTTGTGCACCCTAAAATGTATGTCAGAGTGGGAAAGGCATTAGTGTTTCACAAACATCTCGTTTTTTTTTAATGTAGAAATGATTGTTATAAATGGCAGCACAATAAAAACCTGTCTGATTGTATGTGTGTCTGTGTGTATCCACTGTTTACAGACAACATCAGTCCTGTGATAACTGGAGTCAAGACTCTTCAGATGAAGATTGTCCTTTGTCATTATGACATCAGTGCTACATGTAGTTTCTGCTTTCATTCCAAACTACTACGGAGAGAACCTTTCTCTTCAGAACTTGTTTCTCAATTCATATCTAGATAAATGCTGTTTGAATGACGCTCAGATAAAAATTCTATGACATAAAATATTATTTTAAATGTATTTATGTCATTTTTTTTGCAGTTTCATAATAATTTGTAAGTTAATGATGTAAAAATCAACTACTGCTACATGTATGATTGTTAAACGTACTGTGGCATTTAAGAGATAAATAGACTTAGTGGTGGAATGAAGGATAGGGAGATAACGACCAGTATTCAAGATCAAAGTCCATAAACCAATACATTGTAGGAGCAGAGCAAACACAGACCTCCAAGACATCGGAGGTGGGATCAGTTGCTATGGAGTAGTGGGCATCCCCTGCCGACCTGTCACACCCGCCTTATGCTTCTTGTCATGATAGGGAAATAACAAAAAAAAATCCATCGTCAATTCAGTGTATAAATAATGTGCTAAAGATTAGTTTGAAAAACATCAGTCAGCATTTGACCCAATGATAAATTGTATTTGCTGACAAGGACATTGTATCGATCATAGAACTTATGAAATGATGACTTTAAACGAGGCTGCTGATATTCTTGATTCATCAACTTGTTTTGTCAATAATTTACCTCGTTGAAGAAACTGTTCATATGTAGAGCATGCGCTTGCGTATCGAATCAACTTAGATATATAAACTCTGTATGCAGGTGATGAAGGTACATTGCTACATAAGTGAGGGAAGTTGACGATAGAAAAGTTAAAGTCATATTGTTTATCATAAAGCTTGGTTGTTAGATTACCATTAACGTCTTTTTCAAGTGAAATATTCAAGTATCAAACAGCTGAGTCAGACTCTGTGGTATCTTTTATGTGTAGCTCACCAGGATATATCGAATCGACATAAGAATGGAAATTACAATTGTTATTAAAAATTGACAGTACGTCGTCAATATATCTAAATGTCAAGTTGAAGGCTACAGCAAGTGTTTATTCTTTTCATGCATAAGGTTTTGCACAAATTCTGTTTCATATGAATACAAAAATAGGTCTGCTTATGACGGACCGCTATTGGTACCCATGAAAATTCCAATAGATCGTTGGAAGACCTGGTCTCCAAAACCGTTTATATATTGTTAATCAGATACTCAAGCATTTTTTCGATGTCAACTTCATAGTAACTATGTGTGCAATCAAAGCGAGTTTTAACAAAATAATTTTGCAAATGACAATGATCAGGTAAATAAAATTACGATATCCATTTACCTATCTCACGAAAATAATTAAGGTATCCACTGTATCTACATATTTTGTTACGAACAATAAAGCTATTGAAAGATTAGCAAGTCAACCTTGAAGGACCAATATAAAACGATAAATAAAATTAAGAATACAATTTCATTTGAGGTTTATTGGATAATTGAAAATCAACCTCAAGAATAATGCAGGCTACTGTAGAAGATTTGTTTGATAATTTAATATATTCTTCATGTCCTTTCTCTGCAGATCTGTTGGAGAGTTTTTTATTTCAGTTTTCGACCATAGCGTAACATATGGTCAACGACTAAAACCATAACGCTACACTTCTAAAGTATGTCCTTTCTCCTGCTTTAATAATGTATGCAAAGGGCATTGCTTACATAGTCTTTAGAGTTATTACAGAATCTTTGATTTGTTGTCAATAGTATTCTTCTTGAAAGATTTCAGATAAACGTTTTTAAACCTCCTTGAAAGAGACGTCACAATCCACTGTTTAAATAGTGTCGCATGCATAAATTAGACATACGTATATTCCATGTTCATAACGAACAGGAAAGAAGTTTTATTGGGAAAAATCAGTTCGATCTTTTTCTATAAAAAGCATGTAAGTATTTGTTGTTTCAAGTGTCTAAAAATTTCGAAATGAAAAAAAAAAGTTGAGCCTTTCTTCTTTTTAATGTAGAATTAATTTTAAAAGATAAAAACATCTAGATATGCTGTTAATACTTGAATAAAGTCAGTATGAGCCAGTAAGAGGTTTGAAAATGATGTAGAAAAAATGTATAATCGAGCGAAGGCCCAAACAATCAATTACTTGAACATATCATGCATAAATTTGATGCATATAATTATAATATAATATATAATAGATATTAATTCATTTGCCTTGTCAATAATTGACTTTCTTATTAAATTGTTGCTCTCTTCAGATGAATTCAATTGATTCTAAATGATTTCAATAATAACATGCAATATTTGATCTGAAAAAAAAAACAATCAATATACTAGTATTATAATTGCTTTATTGCTCCCTACTCAGAGACTATATTGCTATCATTTTCTTCTAAATAGAGGAATTAACATTTGCAAGCGTACCATTACAGAAAAAAACTATATATCTACCATATTATGCGGGTTTGTAATTTTTTCTGATGATTGCAACCGTATATATCCATTTAAAACAATTATTTTACGGATTGGATATTCTTATATCTGTATTAGGGTGAATAAAAAAGAAAGACAGGGCACATATTTATCAACCTGCACTAAAAATACAGATAATTTGAATAAATATCTGTGTCCTTGTGCTCCTTGTCATAATCTGAAAAACAGAAAAAAATTACAAACAAGATGTGTTTGTGAAACACTGTGCGCCCGATGGCAACAAAATTTGTAAAAGCTATTTTTAGCATAAAGGTAACAGTCAAGGTCATAAGACCATTGACCTTGATGTCATCTGAAAGAACTTAATTAGTGGAGTATGCATATTAAATATGAAGTCCATATCTCATATGGTTCAAAAATTCTTGGGGAAAGTCGAAAAAGCTATTTTTAGCATATATGTCACTGTCAAGGTCACAAGGTCATTGACCTTTGTAATATTTAAAAGAACTTTATTAGTGGAGTATGCATACCAAATATAAAGTCTCTATCTCTCATGGTTCAAAAGTTATGGCGACAACAAACAGACAAACAGATAAACATACAAACAGACAGGACAAAAACAATGATAATAGTTATATGTAAATGATATCTAACAATTACATGTAGTATGAAACCTCTGCCAGCTTTCGACTTAATGAGATATATTGTTGATAAAATGATGATATTGACTATAGATCTGGCGAATTGATGAATTAAAATGGGACTTTTGATATTCTTTTTTCATCAACTTGTTTGTCTATAGTTGATTCATATAACAAATTGTTCGTTCATGCGATGAGAGACATGTGCAGGTGATAAGGGTATTCATGTTTTGCACATACGTAAAGGAAACTGATGACGGAAAAGTAGAAGGCGTCACGTTTCAACTACAAATCTGTTGTTACCATCAAAGTCTCTTTCAAATATGAAGCAGGTGTGCAAGACTTTATAATATCTTCTACTTGTTTTTGTTCACTTGGATATATAGAAACGATTAAATCTCAATGAAGAAAATTTGGATGAAACATATGGAGATAACGAACAGTATTCAAGATCAAAAGTCCACAAACCAATACAAAATAGGAGCAGAACAAACACAGGCCTAGCTCCAAAACATCAGAGGTGGGATCAGGTGCTATGGAGAAGTGAGAATCGCCCTACTGTCACACCTGCGTGTGCTCCTTGACATGATCGGGAAATAACGAAAAAATCTGTCGACAATTCAGTGTATAAATAATGAAGTAACAATTGTATTAAAAAAAACAGTCAACATTTGACTCAATGATAAATTGCATTTAAAGGTCATTGTATGGACCATAGAACTTACGAAATGATGACCGTAAAGGAGACTGCTGATATTCTTGTTTCATCAACTTGTTTGTCAATAATATACCTCGTTTTAGAAATTATCAATAAGCAGAGCATTCTCTTGCGTATCGAATCAACTGAGATATAACCTCTGCATGCAGGTGATGAAGGAATCTGCTGCTTAAGGTAGGATTCTTCTCATATTTCTTATATTTAAAAATTAATGAAATTTTCATAGAATCAAGAAGACAATATCAGTAAGTGATAGTATCAGTGAGATTAAATTTGACCGTTTTATATTAGAGGCAAGGTCGGGTCAAGGTCATTATCTTTTTCCTTGATATCAAGAATAAAAAAATACTGTTGTAAATCACGTGATGCCTACTTCTATTTCAGAAGTTTAAAGATTGTTCTTTTTGCATAAAAAGATATTACTATTTTGGGTCTATAGCATGATATAACTAAATTTTCATAAATAATTTAACTAAACCGGATAATGGCTAATCCGAATTTTCTCTGTTCTTCTTAATTTTTTAGGATATATTAATTATTTTCATATACTTCCTATATTTAACTTTTTCTTATTTTCACACCTGATAAAGTAGTCTTATAAATGTACAAACTGATACAGAAACAAAAAGTTTTGATCGTTTACTAAGAGAGAAAAAATACTTTTTATGGATTTTTGGCTAAAATCTGTACTTTGATACGAAGCGTTTAAAAGCTAACATAATTCTAGTTTGTTTGAAAAATCATATTTATTTGATATATTTTGAAAGTTTAGACCTTTATTATTAATTTAACTTGCATTTGAAAATTTCTTCAAGTCTTTGAATGTATAAAGCTTATAACTGAATTAAT